CCCTTCTACAACGTCCTGGTGGAGGATGGCTCCTGCAGATATGCTGCCCAAGGTGAGCAGGGGCTCCTTGTGCACTCTGCCCACGTCAGGACAAAGGGGTGCTTCAGTGATTAATTAAGTGTGATTAACAAGGGTTAAGGTGGAGGTAGAAAGGAAATGATCTGAAGTCGTGGCCTGCTGTGTTTGCTCTCCATGAAATCAGCACTGCAGGGATGGACAGGAAGGCCCATTCTGGTGTGATCTCCTCTTTGACAGGAGCTGCCAGATTTATGGATGGGTAGGAAATCTAAAAGGTTCACACCATGAGAGTGTCCAGAAGTGTTTTGGACACTCTCATGGGTGTGAACCTCGACTGCTGCTTTGAAAGAAATAATTCAGCTTCTGCTGAAGGTCAGTCAGCAGCTCCTGACAGCTGTGCCTTGGACAGGACCTGGAAATGGGATTTAATGAGGGGTTGCTAATCAGGACATGGTTCTGGCCACTGTCATTTGCCAGGATCCCAGGGGACACAGGTAACCTGGCTGTTAGTGCCACCTTTAACCAGAACAGAAATGATTGGCTCTTCACAAGTGTAGGGAGGTGTAGAAATCTCTATGTCACATGTGCTTTATGCAACAAACCATAAGAGGAAACTCTTGTCTGATGGTCAGAGTGTGTGGTAAGAACTGTTGAACTGAGGTTCCGAAGAAAACTACAGAAGAGAAGCACAACTGTGACTCTGTACATTGTAAAAATATTCATTTGCCTCATGTTTGTGTTCCCCCTGTGACAGGGAGGAACATCCAGGCAGGGCAGCTGCACAGCCAGAGTGTGATTGGCTAAGGGAAGACGTGGAAGCTGCTGGAGGGAAAATGCTGACCAAAATGCCCTTTCCCTGGGTGCTCCCTCATGTTCTGGTCCCCTGAGTGTGACAAGAAGTGTGACAAGTGGTGGTTTTACAGGCAGGGACACTCCTTCTGTAGATTTAAAGTGCAGCTGGTTCCCATTGTCCTGAGATTGGCTTTTTTGTATTCAGAAGCCCAAAAAGATGAAGTGGCAAATCCTGATGGCTCAGAACAGGCAGGGCTTGGCCTCAGAGAGTCTTAAAACCAGAAATTCTCATGTGTCATGGGTTGATACTAAAATATGCCTCTTGGTAATTACCTAATCAGGTAATTGTCCCCAGTGCTGCTGGGGCTGAGTCATCACTTATCTTGTGTTTAATGATGTTTAAACAAACAGAACCCTGTCTGATCCCACAGTTGTTGCAGGGTAGGCTGACACTGTTATCACTGCATCTCTGTGGCCTCCAAGAGTTCTGATGCTGCTGGGGAAAAGTGAAGGGTTTGTTCTTGCAGCTATTGATATCCCTTCTAAAACATCCTCAGATCATTTGGGAAGGATTATTTCATATCCTCCTGACCTGACTCTGGGGGGGGAGGGAGAGATTTTACTGAAAGAATCCTAAACAAATCCTCATGTGGAGTTTAATTTAACCTGCTCAGAAATAACCCCAAGCTTATTATAGATAAATGTACCTCAGTTTGAGGCCTTCCTGTGAATCTGTGGGTTGAGTGCAGCTAATTCCAGAACTCCTGTGTCATTCAGGGAGTTTAGTACCTGTCCACTCTTGTCTGTGTTTGGTTTGCTTTGTGACAGCACAGGAGAGAGATCTGTGGCTCAAAACTGCTCGTCAGCACCTTTGGGAGGCTCCCACCTTGTGCTGAACTCGCCTGTGTCAGCCTGTTCCCCTGCCAGCTGCTGTTCCACCCCTGCAGCTCTCCAAACCTGCAGCTCCCCATCCCTGCAGCTCCATCCCTGCAGCTCCATCCCTGCAGCTCCCCATCCCTGCAGCTCCATCCCTGCAGCTCCCCATCCCTGCAGCTCCATCCCTGCAGCTCCCCAGCACAGCTCCCAGCTCAGCCATGCTGCTGCAGAGCACTCAGCAGTGCACATTGTTTTCCGCAGTGGTGCAGTATCTGAAAAGGTCCTTTGCAAGCCTCTAGGACTGCAGCAGGCTGCTGAGGCATGGAAAGCTCTGGTGCTGCTGGCTGCACACCCTGGCATGCAGCAGCTTCAAAGAGCCTGCATGGATTAATAGGAATTCTCTGTTCCCACTAATGAACTGGATTTCAGAGACAGATTATTCCTGAATGACATTCTCTGCACCCCAGCGTGTTCCTGCCCTGCCCAAAGTCAGCCTTTGATCCTGATGCAGCTTTTTTTCCTAGCTAATACTACCTGTTTTATCTGGCACAGTGCTGGAAAAAAATGACATCATTTGGGGAGTGCTGCAGGGCTCCAGCCTGTGGGATTTGCTCCCAGTCCCTGCTCTGCACCAGCACTGCAGAGCAGCCCTTGACTGGGGTCACCTTTGGGGTTCAGTGTTCAGGGGTCACCTTTGGGGTTCAGAGCTGTTTAACTTGCGCCTAATCAGGTTATGTAGAGGCAAGGAGCTGCTGTGGGAAAGAATCAGCATGTCCTACCTAGGGACTTTCACTGCACTTGGGGAAGTTTGGATTTAGGGAAGTTTGTTTTGCTGGAGGCACATGGTGAGCTTTGGCGTGGTGGAAGCACAGGCTGAGGGAGGAAGCTCTTGGCTCTTCTGCCAGGACAGCCTTGTGCAGCTGGGCTCACCTTGAGGGGCATCTCTCCTAAAACAAATCCTCCAAGGGCTGTGAGGGATTAGAGGAGCAGAGCTCACTGCAGCAGCTTCTCCCCACGCTTACAACCCAGTCCTGTGAGCAGCAGAGTGGGAGCAGCATCCTGCTGCAGTGATCCTCCAGGCAACCCCAGGCATAAAGCAGTTGCCATGTCCGTGGTCTGTGGGCTCATCAGGAGGTGAGGCTCTGTGAGCTGTCACACTGCCCATTTTCCTGCATTAGGGCATTTTTTTCCTTTCAGGCACCAGATTTGGTGTTTCTAGAAACACAGACAAGGCCTGAGAGAGGCCCAGGGTTGGCTGCCTTGCAGCAGGCTGCTCTGTGGTGGTAACTGCTGCCTCCCTTCCCTGACAGAGAACCTGGAGTACAACTCTGAGCCCCGGGAGATCCCTCACCCCGACATCGGCCGCTATTTCTCCGAGTTCACCGGCGTTCACTACCTGGCAAACACCGAGCTGGAAATTCGCTACCCGGAGGATCTGGAGCTCACCCGAGCCACGGTGCAGAAAATTTACAGCTCAGGCAAGGAGTGAGTGCCAAAGGCAGCCTGGGGACAGAAGCAGCTGGAGTGTAGCTTTACCCTCTTTGCAGAACTTGCGTGGGAAGCAAGTTTGGTGACAATCCTTTGGCTTAATGCATTGAAAACTGCACTGAACTTGGAAACTGGTGCTACAGCATCTTCCCGTTGTCTGCCTGCCCATCCTGGCCCAAAGGCACAGGGACACTTTGGTACTTGAGGCCCAGCAGGAGGATCTTGCAGGGACAGCTGTGCCAGGAGCATTGTCCTTGGGAAGGATCTGCACGTTCTGTCCTGCTGTGGTGGCATTAGAAGGTCAACACAGCGAGATCATGCTGTGGAATATGGAGGAATCCTCTCTTCCAGGGAAGGAAGCTGTTTGTCCTGGCAGTATTTCTGTTTGGCTGTGTCTGTCTGGTTTGGTTTGAGTGTGTATCCTGTGCAGGCAATAGTTTTTAAAGTTTCTCACGTTTCACTGTTGTCTTCTCCGGTCTGAATTTTTGGGTCAGGTATTGCTTCACCCCTGTAGTCTGATTGTTTCTAGAGCTACTGTTCCAATCATGAATATCCTTCTGAGCCTGGCAATATCCTTATGGGCCTGGGAAAAAGCTCCAGCCACAAAACCAGCAGCAGTGAGGTTCGTGGGGAGGCGAGCGGTGCTGACCCGGGGGCCAGGTGGCCACCTCACCGACACAGAGACTCCGAAAGCAGAGGAGGAGCTCCTGGCCCTTTTCCATGCCTGCTGAACACACCAGCCCATGTCCTGACCTTGTTCTTCAGTGTGTCCATCGTGTGTGTCCAAGGTGGGATCGGTGGCACAGCCATGAGTGTCCCCAGGAGGAGCTGGAGCCTCCCAGGGATGTTTGGTGGGACCTTGAGTGACTTGGATGGACGCGGAGCTGCCGCTCGCTGCCATCTCCAATTATTTTTATCCAATAGGTATTTATGCAATACAGTGGAATGATGACTGGAACCTGGCCATCCCTGGAGTCAGCCAAACCGTTGTGGAAGCAAGATGTTAATTCCTGCAGCTTGAGGCCTTCTTCCTTCTTGCCAAAAGAAAACGGATTCTAGGGGGGTGCAGACTTGGCTGCCTGCAAGGGAGGAGCTTTAGCAGCTCGAGGCACACGACTTTTAACCTTGGCTTAAAGGCCCAGACAGAACCACTGCAGAAGAGGTTTTCCTCTGGGCTCGGGGGCTGTGGGGTGCAGAGTGACACGGTGTTTGTGCATATCTTTGTGGTTTCTGAAGCAATGTGTGTAGAGTAGCTGCAGCTCGTGTCTCCTGTCACTGTCCACTTGCAACACAGTAATTCTTCCTCCGAGCTGACAACTAGGGCCCTGTAGAGGTAGGTGGATGCTCTCTAGTCTCTTAAGCACTACAGGTATCTCCACGTGGAATCACAGCCCTCCTCTCCAGCAATGCCTGCCCTGCATGTCACCTCCTGCAACCCTGAGCACTGGTTTGCTGTGGAAATAAATGCTGAGAGCCCAGCACTTTGGTGGTGGTGGTCTGCAGGGATCTGGGGCTCCAGGAGGAGCAGCCTGTGGGGAGAGAGTGAGGAATGCTGAGAGGGCTCTGCTCCAAGCACCCTGTCTTTAAAGAATCCCAGACTGGTTTGGGCTGGACAGGGCCTTAAAGCTCCTCTTGTTCCATGGGCAGGGACACCTTCACTGTCCCAGGTTGTCCTGACAGGAACTTGGAGGAAGGAGAAGTTTCCATTATGAAGCAGGGTAGGGAATCCTATGGCAGAAAATCTGAAATTCCATCTCTTGTTCTTGAGGGTTGGAGCAGACCCCCGCCCTCCAACCCATTGTGAAAGCAGATCCCAAAAGATTCCTGGCAGGGATGCAAGGTTGGGAATGGGGCTGGTGAGTCCCGGGGTGGCTGAGAAGGGGCAGAGCAGGGCCCGAGCTCCCCATTCCCAGCTGTCAGCAGGATTCCTGGGATTTTGTGCTCCCTTCTGCTGCCACCTGGGCCTCTCCAGTGCACCCAGGGCATTGCAGAGCTCGCAGGAGCCCTCAGCATGAGGAGCTGCCCGAGCTGCAGCCGTGCCAAAAAAGAGCCACAGAAAGCAGCCAGGGTTTCCCTGAGGATGGCCAGTGCTTGCCAGCCCACCTGGAAAGCTGCTGGGTGTCCAGGGGTCCCGGAGCAGCCAGCAGGGCCCTTTTGGGGTCACTCTGTGCTCACACCCTGAGAGGAGCCTGGCCCAGGAGGATGTGTGGGAGCTGTTGCTCACCACAGGCTGCTGTGGCCTGGGGTGCAGCAGGGTTGGGTACTCAGGGCAGCCCTGAAAGCAAATTCCCATCCCTCTGGCAGGAGTTTTTGGAGGAGCTGTGACCTGCTCTGGGTGCTGCCCACACCCACACCTGGGCTGTGGGTGTTGGGGTCACCCAGAGCACCGACACAGCCTTGAAGGTGCCAGATTTTGAAAGATTGGGCTGTTTCAGTGTGTTTTCCACTCAACCTCAGCCCAGGGGCCAAGTCAGATTTTGGGATTTGACACAAACCCAAAGGGAATGGTGAGCTCCCTTGGTCTCCCATATGGGACAGGTGTCCACACTGCCTCCAGTGCTGCTTGCCCTGGGTGGAGGCTTTTGGTCCTGGGGAGGAGAAACTCCCCTGTGAGCACCTGCAGCTGTGAGCCCAGCATCCAGGGTGGCCAGGGAGAGCTGGAAA